GGAAGGCTTAGATTGATCTGCAATAAAAATTAAATAAATAAATAAAGGCTGGAGAATGTGTACATGTATAGTACATGTAAATACTTATTTAACCAAAAAATTAGTTAATAAAAAGTTCCTAACATTCCCAAAGCTTCAGGTGTTTTTTAATATTCTCTGATATTTTATTGCACTATTTTACGATTCTATACTGGGCATGAAAAAGGATTAAAATTGTTTTCGTACTAATTTCATGGCGACGCAGCATTTTGCGTGACGAAAAACACTGCTGAACGGTTTACGTCTGTTATGCAAGGTACCAATAGGCAACAAGGAGGTCCCCCCCACCTTTAATTTAGAATAGCAAATCTCTTTTCACTATTTTACTCTTTGTTTGATTTTAATATGAACTTTTACTTATTACTGCGGGTTTAAATTAGAGTAATAAACATGCTTTCACTCTGAGGTAAAAATTACTCCCTCAACAATTTGGAATCTAAGGTAATACTGCTAAGAGTATCTGTTTGTCCTCCTAAACAAATATTAGCATTAAGAATTTCTTATCTTGAAAGAAGAAAGATATTGTTCTTCATTCTTAACATTTAGTAATATTTTTAATTTAATAAATCTATAAATGGATCTTTCATTTCCTACAATTATTAATGTATAAAATAACTTAAAAACTGAAAGAAAGTGAGAAAGAAAAATATATTATGAAGTAAATCTTTTTCTTGATTAATCTTGTTTTCTGAGATAATATTCATGTGTTACTTCAACAGTGAAAGAATTTCGTCTCATTATATATACTAGTAAGCCTTCGATTCTCTAATGAACAGAATAAGCGACCGGTGAAACTCGCTACAATGCGAACTGCGAGGAAAGGATAATGGGAGAATTAAAAAGTAGAGAATAAATCCAACTTTAAAACCGGATATACATTTTGAAACTTGATTATAAAATTAAACGAAATTAAGTAATAAATAAATAATATTTAATAAAAAATTAAACGAAGGAAGATCTATTATTTTATTTCATTCTATAATTCTGGCTTCAAATACAAAATTTTTAATTATTTATCTGTCAGTATTTAATTGTGTCCTTAGTAAATGAACTTAAATTTATAGTACTTCCTACTATGCTTAAAAGTAATTAAGAAAGGTTGAAGAATTTTTTTTTAAATTAATCAGTTTAATATATTGTTATATTTTCAATATTTCAAAAATTACTTAAAGAAAAAACGATAGTTTGTTGTTAATTTGTTGTTAATCTCTCTTAATTCTAAATGAAGAAATCTGTATGTGGATAATTCACATTGCGAAAAAACGATGGCGCCTAAAATCACCAAATTTTGGATACACGTAGTCCTTCAACCAAGCATGTGTTCTTCAAAGCGAGAATTTTGAATTTCGAAGTTGTTTTCGATTTATTTCATATTTTGTACGAATTTAATGAATTCTTGATTAAAAAATTCAGCGGTTAAAAGACAATATGTTTCCACTCAGCGAAGCACAGCATATTTATATTTCAAATTTAATCAGAAAACTCGGCGATTTGAAAGAAATGTGTTGTTACTCGGCAAAGCGTAAGATATTTGGATTTCAAATTTCATAAATGAACTCGGCGACTTAAAAGAAACGTGTTGTAACTGCCCGATATAACATATGTTTAGCTCCCACAGGCCAGTTTTTTGCCATTTGACGAAGCGTAATAGACTTTTAGCTCCAATTTAATTTGTCTGTTACTAGCCTCTACGCAGCCAGCCTTTGTCTGGCTTTTAAATGTACCGGGAAAATGCCTAAAGGGAGCACCAAATATTAAATTTAAAAAATGCACAGTTTTACTCTGCAGAACTTTATCAAAAATGCAACTTTATAAAAAATATTTCAATAAAAGTGTATTATATATATAAACAAATTACAATGAAATAAGTAATATCACTTAATACAAATATTAATTAGCCTAATAAATAAATTAACCATCTTCCCGTTGCAAAATCTTAAGAATTCAAACGGTATAAGGGAAGCTAAGAACTTTGTTTCCTAAAAACAATCATGCAAAACTTTTCAATATCTTAAAAACAGTGAAATAAGCAGTGATTAACATGAAAAAACACACACACACACAAAAAAAAAAAAAAAAAAAAAAAAAATTCTGAAAAGGAAAGTATAATTAATATTTTATCTCGTATTTTCAAGAAAAAACAGTCAGCAGACCAGTATACAAAGCATAACGAGAAAGTCTGTGTATTTGTTCGTTAATAAATCTGTCATTATTATAGCTATCGTCACCAAACTTTCTACAGTTCTTTTCTGGGTTGTTATAAAGTCCATATCCACTTAAAAAAAAATTTAAAAAAAAGTCTCTGAAATCAGAGATATTATTTAAAAACTCTTAAAACGGTAATTTGTGACGTCATTTTTCCGAGTGGCAACAGTGCTGACGTCAGCAACAATGGCAACTGTGCTGATATCAGCAGCAATAGCAATAGTGATATATCAACAATGCCTGTGTGCCATTGTTGTTGGTTTTCCCATTATGTCTGATGCGATTTCATCAGAAAACATAAAAAAAAAAATCACATTCTAATTTTGAAAAAATCGCTTCGAGGTGCACTGGCATCTTGTCTAGATGCACCCCTATGTATCAAATTTCGTAGCCCTGGGTCTATTAGCTTACGCCCAGCACAAACGAAAGACAAACATAGATAGACTTTTCCTTTTATTATATGTATAAACTGATCAACAAACTAAAAGATTTAATAACGCTGTTTTGTATCCTTGTTATTAATTACTAACTTGAACCGTGAAATTACACTGGATAGACTCATTAAAAGGATTACTTTTTTTACTTCCTTATACGAAGTAAAAGGTGTATTATAATCGCGGAAAATTTTGGGTATCATATTTCAACGAAAATATGCATTTTGGCCACTGGCGAATCCATTTGAACCATGTTTTTGCGTGGACAGACGTACGTTTTTGGACGTACGTACAGACAGACCAAAAATGGATTTCTAATAGAATTCAGAAGAGATTTTTTCGTGACATTTTTTTCTTACGTATTTCGTATAACTCAAAAACGAGTAGCCGTAGAATGTTGAAATTTTGTATACATGGGAACTGCTATAACATGCAGTTGTGCATCTCTTTTTTCCATTGCAGTCGGCCTCTGTATATATGTATGTTTGCCACTGTCTTACCTGACTCGGTGAGCTCAAGTTTTTTTTATTCGGTACTTTTCCGTTTCGCCGGCGCAAATCTCGCCAAGCAGACTTTATTGGCGACAACATACAGTATACACATAAAAAATATTAAAAAAATATTAGTTCTAAGAATTCTTTTAAAAAAGAAGGCGTAAACATTTAATATTCGCTTAAAATTTTATAAAAGCCATAAAATAAGAAAATAAATTTGTAAAAAGACATTAATTTAGAATTTACTATGCTTTCATGGTTCAACATTCGCCGTTCATATCATGTGACCCCAAGCGTCTCATCTCACGTAAACTACTCTACAAAATCTAATGCTCTCAGTAATTATCTACATTCATTTCAGTTAAATCTTAATTTGGAACACAGTTTAATGCAAGAAATATTCAATTCGTACGAATAGCTTACTCAGAATTATGTAAAACTGCAGTGCTTTACTTCGCTAATGCATCTCATTAGAATGAATGAATTTAACCCTTGACTTTAACCGTTATTCTATATTTTCGGCTTCGATAACGCTGTGATTGCATTCCAATTGACCTTAATTACCGAAATGGCCTTAGACATAAACTGAACTATCTGACAAAATTCTATGTATTCTATATATGCCAGTATTGTAAGAACAACCAGTCTGAGAAAAAGCTGCGACTTGTTTTGAAATGATGTGTAAAAGGTTACCAGCGAGAATATCCGTTTGGCAATCAGTTGTAAACCGTTATGGCGACTTTAGCTTGCGCCGGCAAAACGGAAAGTACCTTTTTAAGAAAAAGCTGCGACTTGTTTTGAAAATGATGTGTAAAAGGTTACCAGCGAGAATATTCCGTTTGGCATCAGTTGTACCGTTATTGGCGACTTTATCGCTTGCGCCGGCAAAACGGAAAAGTACCTTTTATTCTTATATGTTGGTGAATTGTAAATATTTTTCTTTAAAAGTTATGCAAAATTTGTTGTTCTTATGTTTCTGTTAAGGTTTTTATGCCTGTAGTTAATCTGCTTGCAAAAGTTGTAGAATTATCAACAGTTTAAAAGTTTAAGTGGCGCTGCTAATCCTAACGAGGTCGCCATTTCTTTAGATTTGAAACTTTTAGTAGAATAGTGCACCAACTTTGGTGTCTTTTTGCTCAGTGTGACCAAAATTAATATTGTAAAAAATTGCTTATTTAACTGTTTTTAATTGTATTTGGTGTTTTAGTTTTTTCTGTATTTTACAGTTTTTAATGAAGACTGAGTTTTTATGTATTTTTGCCTTGCCGTGAAGTAGGAACTGAATTGTTTGAATTAGAAATATATCTCTAATATGAAATTCGAGGAAATAAATTTAAATGAAGTGCAAGAAAAATTGTGTATAATTTAGTAGGCCGTACAAGGAAGTCATGTGGTATCCACATCAGATATTTTTTTTCACCTTTTTATAGCCTAAACTTTAGGCAGCCTTTCGCGCCAGCGGCTAGTTAGATACTGTAACCAGAAATTGTAATGTGTAACTGCTAAAACAAATTGAATTATGTGTTTTTCTTTTTGGGTTGAATTTCGTTTTGCTATTCTTGCGATTTAAATCTATAAAAGTGTCGATCGTTTAGTTGTAAATGATTTTAAACTGCATTAACATTTAAACAGTCAAAATACTCAGATATATGATTTTGTAATGTCAGGGATCATCATATAGGGCAACTGTCAAGAACCTCGTAATTTTTTTATTATGAATTCTGTTGAAGTATCATTGCAGAGTACCATTACCATTACAGAATGTTGCAGTTGATACTCTGTAATGGTTTTGTTCAATAATAATAACAACGTATATTTTCATTTATAGAACTTCCTCTTATGTGGGATGGAGTATGTCCTAAGAAATCTTCGAAATGTCCTCCAAGGTAATTTATCTCCTGTTTAGCTTCATGTAGCTGAACGTATGTATGATTTTAAAATTATCGAAATAATTATTAAAACTTATTTTAATAGTTGTATGTGTTATTATGCATCCACTAAATTTATTTAAAGGAATATTTTGTTCACATGAATGTCCAGTTGCTTGAAAAGAATTAAAAATAATATGGCGCATGAGAATCATTTTCGTTTTGTTGCAAAATAAAAATGTATACGGTGTCTGAAAAGTCATTACCTATTTTAAAGATCATTGTAGGTGGTGTGAATATGAAAATAACATGATGCTATTGATGCCTCACTACATTTATTACCATGTCCACCCAAAAAAACACCTGTAATTCACCACAATTTACCTATGTCAGTAGCATTTCTATAAACATGTGGGTATATGATCGCCATTTATTTTAAGCAATCAAGGGATACTGCGTTTAAAACAGCGCGAATTTTTCCTTCAAGTTCATCCAGAGTTCTGAAACATTTATTCATTGATCCAACCCTACAAAAACAAAAAGAAAATGTCACAAAGTGTGAGGTCTGGACTTCTAGCAGGCACTCCTTGGTCCAAGACGACAGAGCCGTCTTCTTGAAAAATGATTATACAGCCACTCCTGAACAACATACTTTTGGCGCGCTGAACTCCCGAGGGGGAATGATTCTTTCACTCATACATAACAAAGCGTCCATCTCCTGACCCTGCTGAAAAGACTTCTTTTACCTCTTTGTCCACGGGAGTGACCGTCGAGGCTGCAGCCGGAATCATTAATAAAAGCATAGGATTTCATCACTGATGAAAACTGTTGCACTCTGAAATCACTCATCCTAGACAAAGAACCTTTATGCCACTTTTATGCATCTTCAGTTACTTGAAACATAAATGGTGAAAAATAAACTTCTGTTGCACGTCACGTTGTAGAGACATCAAGTACCTCGAAGCAGGAGTCATGAAAAATGAGCAATGCCCTCGCCGGGATTCAAACTACGGACCTCTCGAATACGCGCCGAGCGTGCTGACCACTACACCACGAAGGCATGCTAAGAAGGCGGGAGAAATACCTTATATACTCCCCCTTTTAAAGGTCGACTGGGGGATTAGGGGACCCAATCGCCTAATCCTGGTGGTGGAGAATCATCATCCACCACCTTGTTTAGTTCGGGTGCCACTGTAGAGACATCAGGTATTTCGAAGCAGGAGTCATGAAAAATGAGCAATGCTCTCTCCGGGACTCGAACCACGGACCTCTCGAATACGCGCCGAGCGTGCTGACCACTACCTCTCGAATACGCGCCGAGCGTGCTGACCAAATGCATGCTAAGATAGCGGGAGAAATACCTTGTAACGTTTCCCTTAAAAGTACGTTGCAGCATTACATATTTTCTTCATGAAAATAAGTATTGTCTTAGTGAACACCTTGTATATTTTTGTAACTTTAAAATAAAAATTAGATGATTTTCATTTACTCATATAAAAAGTGTAATGCAAAATCAAACATGAATTAAATTTATTATAGCAAATTAAAAATTTAATAAAAACCAAAATAGCAGTATTTGCATTGTATGATGCACAGAAAATGGAAGGATATGTAAATGATTAGAAACGTAACACATATGCAAATTATGTGCACTATTAAGAATCTAGAGCAGCGGTCGCCAGCCGGTGGTCCACGGAGCACTAGTGGTCCATGAAAACATTTTGATAGTCCGCAGAAAAGTCGGGACATTATTTTTATGCAGATTCAGTTTAAAAATAGCGAAAAACAAAACCTATTATGGTATATGGATTGTACTTTATTTTTTTTAATTTTAGCTACTACGTTTAGCGATGCAGGTCTATCTAGCGACATTTGAAAGTGAGAGTTAGCACCCATTGATATGCTGCTATTATCAATAATAGCGCGGACTGGAACTCTCTTTCCTTTTGAATTACAAACATATGCTATTGTAGTCGTTAATAACGCAGTTTTTCTCCGTGTCAATAGGCAACTTGATGGATTTTTATGAGAACCATCTGCATTCTTGTTTTTAATTGCATCACTGGAAGTTTCCGCTTTTGTTTTGTCTAACTGTTGATCGATGGCGAGTAAGCGATGATTATTATGTTTACAATAATTAAAAATTGGCGGCATAACACTTTCAGTTTATTGATATTGCTTTGCGTTTGCCAGTTTGTTTTTGCTTTTCGTAAAGTACCTTTCAGTGATATGGAAATGTGAAGCTTTCTGTACAATAAGGTAAGATTTTTGTACTTTTCATATACTTATTCAGTGTGAACGAAATATGTGTATCAGTGAGATGTTAATAATGTTTTAATTGTTACTCATAATCAGGGGCGTAGCCTGAATTGTCATAAAGGCATGCTGCTGAACACCAAATGTTTCGAAAATTATATTAACAAATGAAAATTAGAATTACATGTATTAGAAAGTTGAATATTGTTTTTGCGTATTAATATGTTGTTTTTAAGGTCTGATTTAAGGTTTTGTTTTAATTCATATTAGTGGTCCGCCAAATATAAAATTATATATGTAGTGGTCCGTGAAGTTCTGAGGGTTGACGGCCGCTGATCAAGAGAGAATATAAGAAAGGATTACAGAGAGCTACTATTTAAACGCTGGAATTGTATTTACTCACCGCTTATGTGCTCAGACAGTTGGAATTTTTGTTAAGAAATACAGCAGTTTTCGAGCATGATATCGCAGGAGTGTTAATGGCATCTCGAAACTATAGATTATCTATTCAAGAAAATGGTATTCAATGTCAGGCTCATTGTAGCTGTAGTGATTTAGATATACAATTATTGGATTGAGGAAAGTAGATATTCAAGTGGTTTTTCAGAAATTAAAACTACAATTTTCAGCGTTTTATAAAAGTTTGATTTTATTTCACTTTGGAATTTTTAATTTGTGTTTAAGAATCTAACTTTCTTACTCAATGCCTTAACTATTATTAAATGCTTGTTAATATTCATAACCATGCGTTATTAAAAGATATTTTAAAGATAGTTTTAGTTTCCATTTATTGAAATGTCATAACTGATTTTATAATGTCAAAACTGTTTACATTAACTTTTACTAATTATTTAGACAACGTATTTTCTGCTTTTATTGAAATACATTTTTCTTTTTTTCTTTAATGTTTTCCCTTTTGTTTTCATTTATTTCTTAGTCATTGTTTTTTCAGCTTTGATAGAAAAATTAAAATATTAATATTTTTATAGTTTTCAGGGTGTTCCTCCTTTGCTAGTAATTTCCCTTGATGGATTTCGTGCAGATTATCTAAACAGAGGTTATACACCTACATTAAAAAATATTTCTCAATGTGGTACCAGTGCAGATTTTATGTATCCTGTTTTTCCGACAAAAACATTTCCGAACCATTACAGCATAGTTACGGTAATTAATATTTATAAATATTGTAATTTGTATTTTACATTGTGTTATGGTTACTATTTTTCGTATCTTCTATTATCTCGATATTCTACTGCATCTTTTGCACATCATTTCAAAGTTATCTTTTTGGATAGACAACGAAGTATACGACTGAGTTTGGCAGTCGTACTTATGAAGGGCTTACATATGTGCACACCAGGTTGCATTATTCAATAAAACATTATAGTATCAGGCATAGAGGTAATAAAATGTGGAGGATATCCATGTCTATTATGATTATGGAATAGTTAATTGGGCTGGATTCAGTATTAGTTTTAATTGAAATTATTAATGTAAACAAAATAAAATTTGACGAATAATGTTACTTTGAGGAATAAATACCATCAATGTAATGTTTACTTCCGTATGCTGTATGTAAGTCTTCCAAACCACCAGACGCCAAATAGATAGCAAAATGGAATCAAACCTACGAGAGGACAGCTGTGCAAGTTCATAGATAACAAGTTCCTAAGAACCAAGAATGAAACAAAATATTTTCCAGGTATGTTTATCTTTAACTGAATTGCCTAGCTTCATGTGAATTTCCACCCCTTTTGGTCGATAGCTCTTGAAGCGATTTGCCATAATGAAATACCTTTCTGTGTTATTAGATCTTTTTTTAAGCAGGAAATGTGAAAGATGCGGTATGCCTTCGCCGGGACTCGAACTGCGAACTTCCCGATTGCTAGCCGGGTGTGCTTTCCAGTTGCACCACGAAGGGAAGGGGTAAGGAGGAAGAAAATACCATACACCTGTTTACCACATTGTGGGGTTAAAGTTTCATGAAGATTTTCTGAGTAAGCCAACCATATAAAAAACAAAATTTGAAATATAATATTTATCACAAGTGGAGAAGATCTGCTACAGATAATTAAAAAAGAAATGAAAGCTTATACTTACGGAGGGGTGAATCTCACCAACTCAGTTCTAAAAATATGGGATGAAAGCGATCGAAAATTCACTATTTCGTAGTTAAAAATTGCGCAATATAATTACAATTGTTAGTTATTATTTACCGAAGAATCAGCGAGTATTTAGTTGAATTTCATTGCCAGTTTATAAACAGCTACGCTTAACTCTCAATAGCTTCTTACTCTGAAGCCTTTGCCTATGGCGAGCGGAGAATTTTTATACATACACTCATAGACAAAAAAAAAAAAAAAAAGAAAAAGAACGCACCAAGAAGGAGTTACCCGAGTGGGACGAAAATCGGTAGAAGTGATGTACTACATGTACAGAAAAACAAATGATTACAGTCTTAAATATAGTTAAAAACAGCAAAACAAACAAATAAAAAACACAAGACATTAAGTAAATTAATATATGTACAGAGCAGGCTGCTGACGGCATGGTGTCCAAGGAAAGAAGTTACTCCAGGTTGTCAGCAATGCTTTTAGCAATGGTAGTGCAGTCTCTAATGCGGCTGATCGCATATTTATTCTTAATTGTGTTCTTGAACCATGCTGGCATATTGATTGCAGTTGATCTTTTCAAATGTGAATTTTCTTGTGTGTCAGCAGTCAAACAGATAGTAATCTGGGTCACCAGTACTGCCACAAATACATTGGTCACTGTCTCTTAGGCGAAATCTGTGAAGATAGGACATATATGGGCCGTGCCCTGTCAGATACTGTGTGAGGTGCGAAGAACTACTGTTTAAATTGTGGTTAACTTTTGGTTGGAAATCATACAGTCTTCTGCCTGTGGTACTTGTCTCCCAGTAGTTTTGTCACTGCTTCATTAGTTCACATTTGAGAGTAGTTTTCAGATACGAGTGCGGAAGGGGCACACCAATGCTATTCACGTGGGGTTCATTGGCTGCGCCCTTCGCAATCATATCCGCTGCTTCATTTCCTTTAATCCCCGTATGGGCCGGAACCCAATGTAGCTGGGGCTTCAGACTTGCAGGAATCGAAATTAATAGTTTTTGTATGTCTCTGACAATGGGATGTCTACTGCGCGCCTTGGATGGCCTGCAAGCTTGACATTGAGTCTGTGTAAATTACTTTATACCTGCCATTGTTAGCAGTAAAGTCCAGAGCTGCCTTTAGGGCTGTAAGTTCTGCCTGAAACACCGAGTTAATGAGATGAAGCTTCTTAGCCCAGGAATGGATTATGTGGTCACCCTCCATTGCACACCACACACTGCCAGTCCCGAGTTCTCCTTTGGAGCCATCAGTATATACGGCTAAGGATTGTAATGCACTTGGAGGATTACAGTTTGATCCTATATCGAAGTCTGCAGGGTGGCAAGGAGAGTGGGCAATGTGATTCTCGTAGTCCGAGGATACATAAGTCTTACTCCAAATAGTAACGTCTTGTTTTAGTCTGATCACTCTCACCACAACACTCTCGCTCTGTACTATCAGGTGCAGGGGCGGAAGCCCAGCCAATACATTTAATGCAGTTGTAGGAGAGGTACGGAATCCTCTGCAGATTCCCAGAAGAAATGATCTTTGCGCGGAGTTCAGTGCGTGTTGCATGTTAATCGTGACATTGACGCCCCATATGGAAACGCCATGAAGAGCTATGCGCTCAGCGACTGTGACATACCATATTTTGAGCATCTGTGAGGAGACACCCCAGTTAGCAGCAGCTGTTCTCCGCATTGTATTAGACAATTTATGTAGCCTTTCTTTAAGATCCTTGATGTGAGGGAGCCAGGAGAATCTGTCGTCTATAATCACACCCAAGTAGCGGAAATGTCTCACGAATTGTATGTTTCTGCCATGAAGGTTTACGCACGGGGTACGCTCGTGCCTTTTTCCTGTGCTAACTAGCATTCCTTTGGTTTTTGCTCTTGAAATTGTGAGCTTATGTTCACTGGCCCAGCGGACTATTTTGTCTAACGCTTTTTGGGAATTTACCTCGTAACTGTTACGGCTATGACCGTTTGAAATTAGCAAGAAGTCGTCAGCATACGCTATTATTTCTGATGTTTCATCATCATCAAACAGGTTGAGCGCTGTGTCTGCTACCAGGTTCCACAGAAGTGGACCTAGGCAGGAGCCCTGCGGGCAGCCTTTCGTCACCTTTTGCATGTGGACGCCTCCGTCCGTTGTAGCTTGAATTCGTCTTTTACTCAGGTAGCTGTAGATCAAATCAAATAAAGTTATGGTACAATTGATATCTTTGAGACATTTCAAAACATCATGCCACCACAACGAATCGAAGGCACCTTGAATGTCTATACTGATGACAACAGTATGCAGTTTATTCTGCTTGTTTCTAAGTACCGTGTTCCGTACGTGATTCAGTGCGTGATCCACTGACTTTCCTGCTATAAAGCCATATTGCCTAGTATTTATGAGTTTATTAGCATGAATGTAAAAATTCAGTCTTTGAAGTATTATTCTTTCGAGGATTTTTCCCATGGCTGGGGATAGGCCTATAAGAAGCAGCCTCGTTTGGATCTTTATTTCCCTTTAGGAAGAGGGCAACTTCTGCTATTTTTGTGCCTTCTGGAAAGTGGCGAATTCTCCAGCATGCCTGTAAATAGGAGAAAAGTATTGTCGGATGCGTGTTATGTGTAGTTCTGAGAATGCCGTTGTCAAGCCCATCCGGACTTGGAGCTTTACTTGGATTGAGCTTCTTGATTACGTCATTCAGTTCCTTGCTTGTTGGAAGAGGCTCAGAATCAGGAAAAGACGAAGTATAATAATGTTCAATACTAGTTCGTATTTCCTTCTGCACTGTAGTATCTTTATGGGGATCATCATGCTGGAAAATCGTTTCCAGTATATGTGTCACTGTCTGGGAACTAGTGTTGGCATTCTGACAGATTGACGTAGTTAGGCTGGTAGGTTTGAAGACATTATCATGAGCAACTTTGAATAGTCTACCAAATTTTTCTGTTGCGTTCGTACAATATTTCTGCCAACATTCCAGTTTAGCCTTTGAAATCTTCCGTTTGTAGACTGCGCGGTTTTTCCTGTAATATCATTCCCAATGCCTCTCTTTCATTTGAATCGCGGCAACCTTGAAAACGGCGCCTAAGGGCCCAAACTATACTCCGTTCGGCCACTAACATGGAATTCCACCATGGAGTTTTATTTGAAATAGAGTGACTTCGCCGTTTAAGTACTTTATCACAGACCGTCTGCAATATGTCTATTATCATATTGTATGCAGTATCTAGCTCTTCCTTATCACTTGCATTTTCAAAGGCTGCTACTAAATGAGAAACATGGGGTGCTAAAGAGCTGCCAAATTTCTGGGAATTTATATATTTTGTTTTCCATCTATTTTTAACTGCGTAATGGTGTTCTAAGTCAATGTCGAATGTAATAAAACGATGGTCGCTTAATGATGGGCAATCACTCCACACATTTCAATTGTTTGTTCTTGGGTAAATGGGAGTAGTTGCTAGTGTAATATCTGGCCAGCCCTCTGCCATGATTACCGCCTGAGAAAAATTGGATGATTTACTGAAGTGATAGAGCTTTACAAAGTGAAAAAGTCAGTAACGCGTTTCCCCACCTCTGGTCCTTATGCAAGCAGATATTCGACTTGGCATCGATTGATAGAGGTTGCGGATGTCCTCCTGAGGGATATCGTGCCAAATTCTGTCAAACTGGTGCGTTAGATCGTCAACATCCCGAGCTGGTTGGAGGGCCCTGCCCATAATGCTCCAAACGTGCTCAATAGGAGAGAGATCCGAACTTCCTGGCCAAGGTAATGTTCGGCAAGCACTAAGGCAAGCAGCAGAAACATGTGCTGTGTGGGGGCGGGCATTATCTTGCTGAAATGTAAGCCCAAGGTGGCGTGACATGAAGGGCAACACAACGGGCCTTAGAAAGAACTTCGTCGACGTACCGCTGTGCTGTAAGATTGCGACGGATGACAACCAAAGGAATCCTACTATGAAATGGCACCCCAGACCATCATTCTGGTTGTCGGCCTGTGTGCCGACAACCAGTCAGGTTGTTATCACACCGCTGTCCGGGGCGTCTCCAGACTCGCCT